GAAAAGTTTAATGGGCCGCTGTAAAGGGATCTTGGAAGAAAGAAAGCTGAGAGAAGTATGACCTGTAGAGGCCCTTCCCACAAGGTTTCAGAAGAGAATCAGGACTCCACAAAAATCAGCGTTGTGCTCATTCATGTGATAATTCCAACAAGTATCTGGTTACTCTCTGCTCTATTCCTAAGAAGTTCAGTGAAATTCAATTTGAATATAATGAATGGATTTTCTTGACAGAAGAAATTTTACGCCATGAGACATTCAGGCTGGTTCAAGAAAGCAACTTTTATTGTTAAAGAGATATGCACCATTGCCGGGTGTTGGTAGCACACATCTTTAATCCCAGCACTCGGGAGGCAGAGGCAGGTGGATCTCTGTGAGTTCGAGGCCAGCCTGGTCTACAGATCGAGTTCCAGGACAACCCCCAAAGCCACAAAGAAACCCTGTCTTGAAAAACCAAAAAAAAAAAAGAGAGAGAGATAGGCACCATCAAGCAGAAACCTTATAAGATAGACTGAGATATCAGAAAATGTCCTGAAGACAAAATCCCAATCATCAGAGGTTCCATCTTATGAAGGCATAAATTCATTTAAAGGAAGAAAGCCCAAACTGAAGAGGTTCCTTGCTCCTTAAAGGCAACAGCATAAGGGATGGTTTCCCCAGCACACAGAAACTGTGACCCAAGGTGTGTAGCTTACACTTCATATGGGCAGCAGAACTTGGCAACAACACTTATATGCTTTATTTTGCAGTAATTGGGATACAAAAGATTGAAGGGATCATGGAGTCCTGCTCCACAGTTTCAGAGCACAAATGAGGCTAGGAAATGTGTGGTCATGTTGAAATTACTCCAACCAGATTCCGAGAAGCCACTGTGTGATGGCATGAAGGTTAATCCTAAATTGCAATGGAGACCCTAGAATATTGGCAGATTACAAGACCATGAGATGGATGTCTGCTGAGGAAAGCTGGGAGATGGAGCCAGCCTAAACAAGAGGCTGTTTTTGCAGGTAGTAGATCTGGATGGGTGGGGTTGCTTAAGATCTTCGTAACCCAGCCAGTTTCATCATAGGCTCCAGATGCTTGGAGTGGGGCTTTGGGATTTGATGTTTGTCATGCTGAATTTTCTTGCTGTTTACTTTGTGCCATTGTATATTGAAGGGATGTGACATTTTTATTTCATAGAAGGTTATATGTACAGTATTGCTTTGTGTCTCAGATGAGATGAGATGCCAACTTTGGACTTTTAAATGAAATTGGATTGTATTTTATATTATGAGATTAACATTGGGTGAACATGAGAAGAACATGGGGATAAAGGACAGAAGGTTATGACTTAAAACTTGTTCTAGATTTATTTTATTTTATGTGTATGCATGGGTAGATTTGAATGCCCCTGGAGGCCAGAATGGAGTATTAAATTACCTGAAAATGGATTTACAAATAGTTGTAAACCACTAAGTGTGTGCTGGGAACTGATCTGGCTCCTCTGCAAGCCTAACAAGCGTTCTTAACTGAGCAATCTGTACAGTACAATAAAGGACGGTTATAATCTAAAGTGGTATGTTTGGGTGTCAGGCTGACTAGAGATAGCTAATAGCAATTGCCAACTTGATGAAATCCATAATCTGATGGGAGGTGGATCTCTGGACCCACCTGTGGGTGAGATGATCTTTATTAGGTTCACTGAAATGGGAAGATCTACTCATTGTAAGTGGAACAATTTCCTGGGCAAGGAGCCTGGACAGTATGAAGAGGAGAGAGTGACATGGGCATAAACACTTATTATTCTCTTCTTGACTGTGGATATAATGTGTTCAGATGCCTCCCACCTTGGCTTCTTTTATTTCCCTACTATGGTAGGTTTTAACTTCAAACTCCAAGCCAGAATAACCTTTCTCCCTTATGTTGCCTTTGCCTGGGTTTTTTTAGCACAGCAACAGGAAAAGTAACCAAGACAGTTATTGATCCATTTTTAAAAATATGATTCAAATATTGTTTGTAGCACTCAGTCATCTCATCATTCTTGTTTTGTCACGTTGAGAAGCTATTGGCTTGTGTAGGTATTACAGTGGAATGCTGTCATATTGTTGTAATTTAAAAAGCAGTGTGAGACAGAAACATGCCATGTGACAGAGCTCATGTGGAGGAGATTTTATTATTACCGGAAAGGGAATGGGAAAAAGAGGAGGGGAGGGATGAGCCCTACCTCTGTGGACAGGACCAGTAGAAAAGAGGTGGTGGAGGGGCAACAGGACAGAGAGACAGGCAGAGAAGCAGAGAGAGAAAAAAGGGACAGAGAGGAGGGGGGGAATGGGAGGTGGGAAGGGCCCTTTTATAAGGGAAGGTAGAGAATGTGCACAGGTGGTGCTCTTAGTGGCTGGCCCTGAGGACATATCCTGTCAGAACCCCAAGGGCAGGGCAGTACAGACTGAATACTAACACATATGCTTCTTTTCTTATTTGTTGGTCTGTATAGTCCCTGTGGTCTGTAGTTTTCCTCATTTGCCCACTGTTTTGGTCGTTTTTCTTTTATGTGGGTTGTCTTCACTTGGGTTTTTGTTCAGTGAGAAAGCTAACAAGAGTAACAAACACACTGATATGACAGCAGTCACAGTATTAGCTACAAAAGAGACTGTTCTCTTAACTTATGTCACCTTTGAATTTTAGAGATAAGGGAACATGGCAGTAGTTGGGAAAATTGTAGTTTATAGTGTTTTGTTTTTAGGAGTAAGAGAGCAACATTTGTGAAGTGAGGAAGGAGAAAGAAGGGACTAGGAAGGAGTAGAGTAAGAATAAAGAAATCATATGGTTAGAGGTATGAATTACGGGGGGTGTTGGTTATGATTAACTTCAGATTCCTTTCCTGTACTTCTGCTGCTTCCTTCAAAGTCTGTGTAGCTTGGGGAATGTCTCATATCTTTGTGCTGTGTCATGTTCCATATTTTGCCGTGACCTTCCCCAAATCTCATGTGTTTAGGGAAAGAACATTGTAGAGTTCTCAATTTTTGGGCCCCTTACTCCTCCACTGGAGTAGTGTCCATGGGTTTCAGTCACTTTCCTTTCCTGGTAGACTCAGGTGGGTTGTGTTTAGCCCCTGCAGAACTCTTACCACTATGTGGAAGTTTGATTGATCCTCAGGGAAATAACAGAGAATTATGGTTATGGGTGGTAGGAATATTTCAAGTTCAGATTCCTCTATCAGTTTTCTGGTAGGTGCCTTATATTTGCTGTTCTTGTACAGTTGAGCCAATTTGGGATTCTAGCAGCACAATGTTGCTTTGGATGTGCCATCTTTTCATAATTCAATCATTCCTTATGTTATCTTTCTGCTTTATTTCCTTATTTCCTTTCTCTCTCCATCCTTCATTCCTCTATCTCATTTTGTCTTAGTTGAGGGTTTCTATTGCTGTGAAGAGACACCATGACCATGGCAACACTTAATAAGCTTTTTGTTTTTTGGGTTTTTGAGACAGAATTTCTCTGTGGCTTTGGAGGCTGTCCTGGGACTAGCTCTTGCAGACCAGGCTGGTCTCGAACTCACAAAGATCCTCCTTGCTTCTGCTTCTCGAGTGCTGAGATTAAAGGTGTGCACTACCACCGCCCGGTATGACCATGGCAACTCTTAAAAGGAAAACATTTAATTGGGGCTGGTTTACAGTTTCAGAGGTTAAGTCCATTATCATCATGGTGGGACATGGCAGTGTGCAGGCAGACATGGTACTAGAAAAGAAGCTGAGAGTTGCACATCTTGATCTTCAGGCAGCAGAAGTGTAGATTGTCACACTGGGTGTGACTTATGCATATATGAGACCTCAAAGCCTGCCTCCACAGTGACATACTTCCTCCAACAAGGTCACACCTACTTCAACAAATCCACACCTCCTAATAGTGTCACTGTCAATGAGTCAAGCATTCAAACACATGAGTCAATGGGGGGACATACCTATTCAAAACACCCCTCTTTCCTTATCTTTTCCTTTTCTTCTTTTCTCTCTTTTTCTGACTTGGTCCTTCCCTCCCCTCCATATTTCTCCCTTCCTCCTTTCCCTCATCTCCCTTCTCTTCCTCCTTCCTTGTTTCATGGTCTTAAAATGTATCTTGGCTAACTTTGAACTCACCATGTAGCCCAGGCTGTATTTGTGGTAATCCTCCTGCCTCTACCTCCCAAATGTTGGGATTATAGGTATGAGCTAGTATATCTAGTTTACTACAATTTTTTAAGTATGCATTATATAGCATCTGAAAATGTGAAGGAAGGACACCAGAGATGGCTCAATGAATAAAGGTGCATCACTCCAAGCCTGCCGTCTTAATTTCAGTTCTTGGATTTACAGGACAATGTTCTCTAAAGTTCACACAAGCACTGTGGTTTATACACACACACACACACACACACACACACACACACACACACACACACACACAGACATAAATTTAAAACAAAGTCATCAAGAAAATAAAAAAGAAACCTGCAGCTATAGACTACTGAGATTCTTTTGTAAACTAATGAAAATAATATTCCAATGATTTTATTACCTGAAAGCATGTTTATTGTGCTCAATTTAGCTTGACACCATCCTTTCAATAGTCAAAGAAATAAAAAGCAGTATGTTCAGTGTCTACCTGTCAAACCAGTGTTCATTACATTAACTAGGACAGCAAAGTGAAAGAGGGAATTATCCTCATTTTTAAAATTTTATCTTTTATTTATTTTTTTCAGGGCTGAGGACCAAAACCAGGGTCTTGTACCTGATAGGCAAGCACCAGATTACTGAGCAAACTCCCCAACCCCTATCCTCATGTTTTTGTTATTTTTCCTCTATGGATTCTTCTATTATTAGAGAGGAATTAATATTTCACAGTAAGGATTTTTATATAGAATGTTTGAATTATGACATGAATATTCTTTTTTACACTGCTGACTATACTTTTAAATAATAGAAAGTCAAAGTTTTCTGAATTTAACTGCTATTGATCAAGATTGAAATAGCGACATGACTTACGGTAGTTGCTTCTTGGCAGTTGTTACACCAAATCACAGGGAAGTCTCTTTTCAAAGACTTAACACATTTTGCATAAATCATAGAACTCGCACGTCTGTATTCTGTAAGAAAACATAGGACTTTGAATCTGAAGACTCTTGATATCAAACTTTATGATTGGCAAATTTCATGATATCAGTACCTATATGCTAGAGTTTGAATAGAGCTAAAAATTTAAAAGTAAACGTTTAAAAATAAACTTTGCTATTCTCTTCCCTTCTATTACATAGCCTATTTACTTTTTACATAGGCCACTGTCTTCAACTAGTCTTGATATTTTGGTTATATAGCTATTGCTTTTGCTGCATCCAGGATTTTGCTGATATTGCTTGCTGGAGCTATTTTAAGACAATTGAATTGAGCTCAACTATATTAACAGTAACCAGTAGTGAGCATAATATGCAGAATCTTGTGCTTTCCCACTCTTCATTATTGAGTATATGTGTGTTTCTGTGTGTTGGCAGAATAGTCTCTAAAATATTAGCTATCTGGAATAGTGCTTTAAGCAATTTTATTCATTTATTTATTTTGGTTTTTCGAGACATGGTTTCTCTGTATTGCTTTGGAGCCTGTCCTGGAACTCACTCTGTAGACCGGGCTGGCTTTGAACTCACAGAGATCTGCCTGCATCTGCCTTCCCAGTGCTGGGATTAAAGGCATGTGCCACCAATGTCCGGTATATAATTTTATTTTTATTTACTCATATTAATTTTGCTTGAATCCTTCAATAAAATTTTACTGTAATTGATTATCAGCAAATATTACAATTTAGTAAATAATTTTTAATTGCTTGAGGAGGAATATGCAAAGAAGTAAAAAATATATGTATTTCCCTCATAAGCCTTTCCCATCTTTACTCTTTTTCCTTTATTTTCAGATCAGATTACACGAGGTATTTTTAAAAATTGTTGGAAAAATACATGTGACAATATTTTCCTTTTTTTTTTTGGTTTTACGAGACAGGGTTTCTCTGTATTGTTTTGGAGGCTGTTGGACCAGCCCAGCCTCGAACTCACAGAGATCTACCTGCCTCTGCCTCCCGAGTGCTGGGATTAAAGGCGTGCACCACACTGCCTGGCGACAATATTTTTCAAAATGATTTTTTTTGCTTGGTCTCAAGGAAGTTTTAAGTTATTCCTCTACAACTGACGTGATCAAATCATATTTATTTATTTTAAAGGGAACTGGATATCTCTAGGTACTATTTCCTATTCTCAAATTTTTATCTAGAAAGAATACAATTATATTCAGCATTACATGAGAACATAGACATGATTATCTACTATATCCATGATTATGAAATCATTAGTGAACAGATCAGACATTTATTTGTTCTTTCAATTGTGTGTCATTCAAGAAAGAAAGTAATAAGCATATAAGAGCAAGTTGTACTCATTTCCAGGTATAACAAGCCAATTTTCAGTCAAGTTTTAGAAATAAAAATATCTTGGTACTATTCAACAATTCTTTAATAAATGTTTGAATGGCAATTGTCTGGCATTTGATAAATATAGTAAAATTTCCATTAATCTTCAAGTGATACTATGTATGGAACGCTGTGATAATGATAAATTTATATTTAAACCGTATTTCTGCTTTTTTGATGGTTTCTTTGTGGGTTCAAGAAAGAGCTTCTCTGTGTAACCTTGCCTGTCCTGGAACTCACTCTGTAGACCATGCTGATCTCAAACTCACAAAGATCCACCTGCCTTTGCCTCCCAAGTGATGGAACTAAAGATGTGTGTCATCATGAACTGACTGACCTGTTTATGCATTTTAATGGCATACGTATTTGAAAATTTGAAATCATTACCTTCATTAGCAGCTGCATCTCCAAAGGAAGAACCAAATGCTAACTGTACTATCTGATATAGCCAACTGAAAAAAATAAAAGGGGAGAGGCATCAGTTAATAGAACAGCCAATAATTATTAACTATGATATTTACAATAGGTAAGAACTGCTACTATTCTTATTGAAACATTAAAATTCCAAAGGATAAAGCTTTCACATCAAATGCCAGTGGTATCTATATATAATAGTTTCCATTAGGAAGAAGTTTTAAATACAGCCACAACTAGAATTAAAACAAAAGCAGATCATGATTTGGGGCAAGCACAATAATTGCAGAGGCAGCATCTCTCATTATGTCATAAAAGAAAGCTACATCAGTGAAAGTTTCAAATATCCTAAGCTATATCATCAATAAGGAAATAAATTGCTGACATGCAATAATAATATTCATGGCCAAATTTTCAAGATGAATGGCATGATGGTGTATGAAAATGTAAAACTAAGTCATGATTTCTTATCCCCAATACACATGAATCATATTATGAAAGTCACGGCAAAGACTACTAGCCTAAAAGTATGTAATGATTCCATTAGATACTATCTGAGCATTTTTTTAACAGGCAAAAGGCATGCGTCTGGATACCTACACTAATAACAGAAAATGATCATTCCTTCCACCAATTTAAATACCAGTTTAACTTTTCCTAATTGAGTTCACTGAAATTCAGGAATTGGTATGTGAGCACTAACAGAGAAAGTTAGAAGTGACAATTATAAAGAGTATTAAATGCTTTTACCAGAAACACTATTGTCTTCCTGGTATGTTAATTAGGACTATTTCAAAATTTTCTATTTAGTTTTCTTTGTTTAGCCTCAAGCATTTACTATCATATGCACTGATATTAAAAACATATAATTTTAAGCAAAATAATAAAGAAAAAATAATTATTAAATATGAATTGGACTATAACAGTGGAAATTAAGATACTGTGAGGTTATTTTCTTTTAAAAGTTCTTCTTATTGATGAGTTACTATTCAATATATATTTCTATTTCCTGGTGACAGCATAATTTTAAAATTTCTGGCTACAATAATTGCTTAACTGGTTGTATTATACCCTTACAAATATAGAACACATTCTTTACAGGGTTGTCTATTAAATCAATGATCTATAGTAAAGGAGATAAAGGTTGTATTTGCATTTTACAGTCACATATCCTAGTATCAAGATTTTATTAAATTTTCAAATTGCGCAACTAGATAAAATTGTAATTCTTGTTTTGTCTCTTAATTTCTAGTGGCCACCTATAAGTAAAGATTGAGTTGATGAAGTGAGTTTCTGGAGAAGGCCTTTGATTTGTGGTACAGACATACCTTGTCTGTTCTGACTCCTGATTATGAATGTAACATTACCAGTTACACATGTTTCTACTGCCATGCCTTTCAACCATGGTGGACTTTTGAACTGTTCCAAAAATAAAACATTCCTTCTTTCAGTTGCTTCTTGTCATATATTTGATATTAGCAATGAGAAAAACAATATAGAAACTTGATATTGAGGAATAGGGATGTTTTTATGCTAAACTTTACCATGGGGTCTGTAGGTCTTAAGGAATGTGGAAGGGCTTGAACTTGCATTCTAGAGAAGTCCTACAATGCTATAAAAAGAACTTCATAGGGCATTCTGGTGGGAGTTCAGAATACCAGAATACCAGGAGAAACATGGATAGCAGAGGCCACGTTTATGAGGTTTCAGAAAGAATATGGACTCTCAGGAACTGTGAGAGAGGACATTCATGTTACATTTTAGCCAAGTATCTGACTCCATTCTGCCTGTGCCCTAAAAGGTAATGGATTAATTTGTTTGGCAGAGGATATATCAAGATAGGATAGTATTCAGGCTATGACATGACTACTGTTTATCCAGGTCTATTGTAAGAAAATACAACGAGCAAGGTAGAAAAATGAGAAATGTGTCTGCACAGTTTAGTGAGTAAAGGTATATGAAAAAGTATAAAACTTCTGATAAGTCAGGAGTGAATGAAATTTTAATTGTTACACTGATTGGCACAATAAAGACAAGTCTACCAGTAAGTATGCTGGTATAAGCTTTAATCCTAGCAGCACTCAAGAATCAAAGGCATGTAGATGGACCTCTATGAGTACTAGGCCAGTCTGGTTTACATTGTGAGTTCCAGATCAGCCAGAACTACAGAGTGAAACACCATTTCACATGTACAAAGGAGGGGGTAGAGGGCAGAGACAGAGACAGAGAATAGTACTGAAATAGGAAATAGGGTAAACACCTATTGAAGCTGCCAACTTACAAAAACGCATACTTATTTAAAGGATATAGCTTGAATTGAGAATTCTTTTTTTTAAATTTATTTTTCAGTTTAAATTTAGATAAGAAACAAGGTTGCTTCACAAGTCAGTTCCAGGTCCCTCTCCCTTTCCCTCCCCTCCTCCCGTGCCCTACCCCCAACACCCCCCATTATCCCCTCATTTCCTCAGGAAGGGTGAGGCCCTCCATGGGGGTGTCCATAGTCTGTCATTTCATATAGGGCAGGGCCTAGACCCTTCCCCAAGAGTTCAGGGTGAGAGTGCACCTCACATTGTTGGATGCGAGTCCAAAGTCCGTGTGTATACTCGGGATGGGTACTGATCTACTGCCCAAGGCTCAATAGATTACCTAGGACTCCTCACTGACACCCACATTCAGGGGGTCTTGATTAGTCCCATGATGGATTCCCAGGCTGATGCCTGGGATTCAATAGTTAACCTTTATCAGGTCAGCTGTTTCTGGGGGGTTAAACCAGCCCAGTCTTAATCCCTTTGGTCATCAGTCTTCCCTCTCTGTTACTGGCTTTCTTGAGTTCAGCTCAGTACTTAACCAAGGGAGTCTGCCTCTTCTTCCATCAGCCACTGAATGAAGTTTCTGTTTCCCAGACTCTCTGGCCATGGGATTGTAGGCTGGCACTCCCCAGGTCTATGTCTAAATTCCATATATGAGAGAGTACATGTCATGTTTCTCTTTTTGTGACCGGGTTACCTCACTCAGGATGGTTTCTTCTAGTGTCATTTGCCTGCGAATCTCAGGATTCCATTGTTTTTTTCTGCCGAATAGTACTCCACTGTGTAAATGTACCACATTTTCTCTATCCACTCTTGGATTGAGGGACATCTAGTTGCTTCCAATTTCTGGCTATTACAAATAATGCTGCTATGAACATAGTGGAACAGACATCTTTGTTGTATGAATGAGCTTGAATTGAGAATTCTTTTGAAGGGGTATATTGCTCAAAAATAATTGCTTAAGGAAACAATATCACCTACAAGGGACCAGACTACATCTTGAGCTGACAGTAGAATTTGGCAGCATCACCTATAGGTACCTGTTTTGCAGACATGAAAAATATGAATGACTAGGTCATTAAGACTTATACCAATGATATGGAAAGCCATGATGCCAGGAGATGTGCCATATGGTAAGATTCTCTGCAAAGAGGACCTGGGTGAATGGTAAATGTGAAGCCTAAATTCCAACAGAGACGCCGGGATGCGGATGATCATGGGATATATGCTGATGAAAGTTGCAGTCATCCTGAAAGAAGCATGCAGGAGTACAGCTTATTTTACTTAGGTGGCAGAGTTTTACTTAGGTGGAAGAGATGGAGCGACATGGCTACTGGAACACATTTGAGCCCAGATGAATACATCGTGAGTTCCAGATGCTGGACATGGCATTCAACCATTTGAGCATTGCCCAGATAGTTCTTTTTCTTTTGTCCAATCTTTTTTGCTATGTCTCCATTCTTACCTTTTGGAATGGGGATATTTAATCCGTTCATTATAAGGTGAAATATGTAACTCATATTTTATAACTTTATAAGAGATCACAGTTGAGACTATCTTAAGTCTCAGAAGAATCTTTGGGATTTTAAACAGTATTGTGACTGTTAAAGACTATAGGAACTTCTAAAGTTGGAACAAATGTGTTTTGCATTATAAAATGATATTGGATCATAGGGATTAGAGGCAGAAGGTTATGTTCTGAATGTGAGATGTCACCATAGACTAATGTATTTGAACATTTGGTGTCCAACTAGCAGTATAGTTTTAGAAGATTTTAGAACTTTTAGGAGTTAGAAATTTGCTGAAAGAAGTGACTTACTAGGGTCACACCGTAAGGTTGGATAACCCAGATCAAATTCTGTTTGTTCTCTGCTTCTTGACTATACATACAATATAACCAGCCACTTTAACTCCTGTCACCATGCTTACTCTGCTGTGATAGACTATAACCCTTGTTATACCATAAGTCAAAATAAGTATCTCCTCCCATAACTTGTTTCTTGCCAGGTATTTTGTCACAGCAAACTAATCCACTACTGTACTGGACAGTGTACAGAATATTTTCATTACTGTGTTGTATTACATAAGAGTGCTGATGATTAGATTTGATGTTTAGGAATAATAAATTTTGTGTTTTATAGTTTGGCATGTGACAAAATTCAAAATTTTCATATTTTATTTGATTCAGATCCTTTATTGGTATTTTCATACCTTTACAAAATTATCATTCCTCCATTTCTCCTTTAAAATCATAATTACAAGTGAGGTGCTAAAATTGACATTTCAAAAAGAAGTTTAAAAGAATGTAAACATTAAAATATGTTGAAAAAATACTAGTATATGAGTGATTAAGTAAAAAGAGAGGAAAATGTCTAGTATAAATTCATTTTCTATGTATTTTCCTTATGGTTTCCGGATGAGTAAAAAAAATCCGACATTTATTGAAAATATCTCAGTAACATTTTCTGCACCCAAGCAAATCATTTTAAGTCTATATGAAAGTAGTAAGAGATTATGAACATGTTTTCCTGTTTCAAATTTGCTTTTCGAAAGTTAAAACTTTAAATTTTACTATACTTAACTACTGAAATTAATATATTTTATTAAATTATCAAATGCTATTATGGTAGAAATTTGTTTACTACACTGAGGGTTCATTCATAGGTGTACAAATTTTAATGAAATTAGGATTTTTCCGTTAACTATTTGTAGCCAAGTAGATTCAAACATAATACCATCAGACTGAAATTCTCTATGGAATTTCTATATACTTTGATAGCACTTTCTTGGATTATTGACTTTCAAAATTTAAAATGTAAATGTTCTTACATACTTAGTGATCCTTAATAATCTGATTTTATTGAATAATATTGATAAATGTAAACAAAAACTGAAAATAAATGAAAATTTTTTATTGGGGTTTACAAAGTGGAATTATTAAAAGTTCTAAGTCTGAGTCATATTGAATATATTCTTTCTTTTTTTGTGTTTTTAAACAGGGTTTCTCTGTTGCTTTGGAGCCTTCCTGGAACTCGCTCAGAAATCACAGAGATCTGCCTACTTCTGCCTCCTGAGTGCTGAGATTAAAGCTATGCGCCACCACTGCCTGGCCTCTTTTTAAGATAGCATTAAAATGTGTTTTTGCCTGCCTTTGGGACCCTTTTCCTTCTACTAGTTTGCCTTGTCCAGCCTTGATATGAGGGTTTGTGTCTAGTTATATTGTAACTTGTTAGGCCATGTTTGGTTCATATCCCTGGCAGTCCTGCCCTTTTCTGAAGGGAAAGTAGGAGGGGTGGATCTGGGGGAGAGGGGAGGTGACTGGGGCTGGGAGGAGAGGAGGGCTGGGTGGAAAGTTTATTTGGGATACAATGTGTGAGAGAAGGCTAAATAATTAAATTTGATAAATGTTTTGGAAGATAGCATAGCAGTTCCACCTGTACAGGGAACAGGTTTTTTTTTGCCTGATTAGGTTAATTAGAAAGTATACCACTAGATCAAAATTTGGGCAGGCCTGACAGCAGTCCCTAAAAATCCAGTGGCTTCTCAACTGCAACGCAAAAATAGTGTGTGCAGTACTCACTTGGTCTACTGTCCTGGATTTGGGTGTGGTGAAGGGAACTGACATTAGTGAAGCTCATGCTACCTGTTGGGTCATGACAAATAAAGATCTTAGTCTCTCATCCAGGAGCTCCTGTCACTCTGCCTGTCTCTACCAAAACTGTACAGACTCATTTTCAGGTATCTTCCCACTGGCCTAGAAATACCAATCTAAAACTGAAAAAGGTAACTCAGTATGTGCTAGCTAGATTCAATAGTGCTGGAAAGTGTTCTGTAGTAGGATACTGGGGAAAAAGATATTAATGATTTTACCTTCACTGGACACTGTCAGGCAAGATGTGTCCACTGATGCAAGAGTAGCATTGTGGTTATGGTAGTATTCCATCACTTTCTAACTGGATTTGTGGACTATTTTAGAGGAGAGTTTCTCAAAACTTTGTCAAACACTCATGTCTGGGGAGATCATATGTCCTAAGGAGGAATAAACCTACTATTGTTGTGCTAAATGATCAGGTGTTAAATTGTCTTCTAAATATTTATTTATACCCATTTACTTTGGTGCTCTCAACTTTTGTTGGAGAAATTTCTTTCTTTTTTTGGAGTGGGTAGAGGTTTATACAGAGATTCATAACTGATAAAAAATGCTGAGAATATATGATTGTGAGAGTTCAGCCAAAGCTGTGCCATCTATATCAATATCCTCCCAACCAAAGCCCAGGGAATCTATCAGAAGAGGTAGAATATAAAAATTGGAGAATGGAGAGGACAGTTGTGAATGCGCTCTTTTCTATATGTCATGGGCATTGCATACATGACATCACAACTGCTGTGGTTTCCTGCCTGAGACTTGCACAGGACTAATCCTGTCAAAGTTGCAACAGTGACTGGGGAGGAGTTCCCAAGGCCCCAGCCCTAGTTGAGGAATTATTGGCAGATGTTGAATGCTAATGCTGTAATTCTTTTTGGGGCTGTGGCTGTTGAAAGTTTGCCCATGCCCCACTGGATAGTCCCACATCTGTGTGCATGTGAGCAGCACTAATTAGACTCAGTTGGCTATTAAAGAAGATAGGGATCATGAAATTGGGATGAAGATATTTTGGAGGAATCCTTCCAGAGATGGAAGGGGCTACTAGTGGTAGATATAATCATAACATGTTGTATACATGTTTGAAATTTTCTTCTACTTTCATTTTTGGTGACTGGTAGACATTTAAAAATAAGTTGGAACATTTTTTACCTTTACTGATAAATTATTTCATATAAATGTTTTTAAAAATATTTATAGAACTGGATCAGAGATGCTCCAGAGGTACTATATTTGCATTCATTTGGTAATCTCTAATTCAGTTTTACTTCTACAACCTATTTGTTATTATTCTTTGTCCACAGAAACTAAATTATTCAAGGAATTTCAAAAAAGAAGCAATGACAACACCGAAGCGTATGATTTAAATACTTCTACAAACATCTCAAAATATCTTCCAGTGCGTCTGAGCACTGTGGTGCAAGCCTGTAATCTCAGAAGTGGAGAGGCTGAGGCATGATGCCTAGGTGTCTTATGATAGCAAGGCCAGTATGAGCTCACAATGTTTCCCATACTGGTTGGTTGAACTGATTTTGTCAGCTAAAGCTATCATCTTGTTCTGTGTTCTCCAATCCTGAATCAATACAGAAATCTTTTAGTCAGATATAAATTGAAACTGGTCTTGCACATTTTTCCACATCACTCTTTCCCATATTACCTCCCTCATGTTCTCTATCTTCCACCAACTCCCCTCCCCATTCCCTCTCTCCACCTCCTCTATATGCCATTGTCTCTCCCCTTTCCAATTTGGCCTGTTTGAAAGACGTGCAATATTTGCTCAAAAGAATGGGGAGAGTTTCACCCCATAGAAAAAACAAAGGACAACCAATTAAGTGAACCACCAGCATTGCTTTTACTACTGCGGCCATGGGATTACATGTTGAAATCACATAGCGAATTTCTCGGTCCACTCTCTAGCCAGTCTATCATATTTTTTCTTGTTCTTTCGGTAGACTTTTGCAATTTCAGGAACCAATGGATCATCCGGGTTCGGGTCACACAAGAGGGAGCAGATAGACAGGAGAACTTTAGAAATTGTCAGTGCTGGTGACCACTCAGATCTCAGGATGTCAAGACAGATGCTTCCCTTCCGGTTGATATTCGGATGGTAAATTCGTGTGATGAATGTGATCTTGGGTGGTCTGAATGGGTAATCCGATGGGAAATGGATGGCCAGGAAAAAGACCCCTCCGTGGTAGGGGCTGTCATCAGGCCCCATTATGGTTGCTTGCCAATGGAATGGGTCTTCCCCCACAGGGCCTGCAGAGCACTGGGCTGGAGGGTCGCGAGCCAGGTCCAAGAGCTCCTTTTGGATACGCTTGAGAGCCATGGTCCCTAAGATATGATGTACAGTCCTTTGTACTGGGCTTAACAAGTGGTATATGGCTTTGGACATACTAGGGTCCAAACATCTGTGAGAGCACAGGGTGGTATAGGGTTGGGGCGAGGACTGGGTTGCGGTGAGGGCGATATTGGGTTCCTAAGGAGCTATTCACAGAGGTGGATAGGGTAGAAAAAGGACTCAGGACTAGGGACATCAGCTTTTCAACTGTACCTGAAGAGCTGCACGATTCCTGCCTCTTGGGCCTTGGTTGCTTTGCTGTCTGGATCTAGAGAATCCGCTGTTGTTGTGGGGAGGCTACGAAGCCTGGAAGCCGCACAACTGCTGGGAAACTCTGCTGCCCGGAGAGGTAAGTGCTCCTGCTCCGGGCAGCCAGCTAATGGCTTGGCCACCAGCTGTCCACCTCCAGTGCTGGAGCAACTGGCAAGGGTCTATTGTGATGTCAAAGAGTATACAATGACGAGGATGATACCTGTCGCAGTCATGCGCCATAGAGGTGAGGGGAACGTGGGGACAGCATCCGGGTGAACATGGGTGCAGGTGTCAAATGTTATTAGAACAGTGGAAAATGGCAGAAGGCACCCTTGCCTGTAGGCCTTACCCAGTTCTTTTTCTTTGGCTTAGCAAACAAGGACACAATGCACCTCTTCACCCAGTTACCAGAATAAATAAGATCAATGAGTTTTCTCTCCATTACAATGACTTTATCAAAATTTTTCTCCACACTATATGTTCAGGTCACACAGACCCTTACCTTCATGTGTATTCCTAAGGACATTATCTAATTTAAATAATTTATCAAGTTTGATATTTATATATCTTGGTAATGTTTTGGTAGTTACTGTCTGGAAATCGAATTTGTAACTAACCATCTTATTTTCTAAGAACACCCCACAGAACAGGATGGTGAAAGAATAAAGAAAGAAGGAAAATAGCTAAACACTTTCTATCCTGCATTTATGGGCTTTAGTTGTTCTTTTTTCCGGGGGAACGGTGTTTCGAGACAGGGTTTCTCTGTGGCTTTGGAGGCTGGCCTTGAACTCACAGAGATCTGCCTGCCTCTGCCTCTGCCTTCTCAGTGCTAGGATTAAAGGCATGCACCACTACCACCTGGCTGCTTTAGTTGTTCTTTATAGTTGTTCTTTAACAAGCAGTTTTGTTTGTTTGGAATGATTGTTCCAATAACAAAAATATCCACACAACACAATTTTTCCTTGAGGGTTTCTAATATAGTTATATGCAAAGAAAATAATTACCATAAAATGTGTTGGTGTGTTAGGTGTATAAATTATTTTGCTGAACTGAGTGCAGTAATTTGATAAGATTATTTGTAATTTCTGTTGTTACAGTACACATATCAGGTCACACTTCCAGTTATACTGGATATTCTTTAGTTATGAAGCCCTCCTTTTTTGCAGAACTATTAATCTAATATCCAACCAACCAATTTAGGATATACTACTCTGACACTACTTTACAAAGCAAAGGATAAGGATGACAGAATGGGTCTTCTACTATTAAGATAAAATATATAACTCACTGAGAGGAACTTCTCCAAATTTCTTGTTATATGATCTGTGAACTTAGTTTCTGAATGAATTGTTCATATTATTGTCATTATCATTGAAGTTTATTGCAGCATATACAACTTTGCAAGTTTTGGAACTTAGATTCCAGAGTTTTCTTTTTTCTGATGAGGATGAGATTGAAAATTTTATTAAAATATTGGAAGACATCAATTTTAATCTTTTTCATTGGGCAGAATACTAAGACCATCAATTTTATTTGAGTACTTTAAAGGAGAAGACCTGGTCATGTTCTCCAGATCCTTTTTGTTATCATGTCCTATGGAACATACATTTCTATATACAACAGTATGTCAGCTTCAGTGTGGCTGACTTCAGCTAAAATAGAATCATTTGCCACCTGGCTCCAATTATCTAGTTTTGAGTCAGAGTATTGTTAAATTGTCTATGTAGTCTAGGCTTGCTTCATCTCAAACTCATAATCCTTCTTCAGTCTTCCTAGTGGCTAGAACAATAATTGCATCCCACCCTGCCCAGCTACACTGTATATAAATTATTCAACCACTAAGAACATAGTTGAACAGATGTCCTTGTGGTATGAATGTGCATCATTTGGGTATATGACTAAGAGTAGAATTGCTGGGTCTTGAGGTATATTCCCATTTTCCTGAGAAACTGCCATACTGATTTCCAAAGTGGCTGTACAAGTTTGCAATCCCACCAGCAATGGAGGAATGTTGCCCTTTCTCCACATCCTTGCCAACATCAGCTGTCATGGTGTTTCTGATTTTAGTCATTTTGAAATGTTTAAGATGGTATCTCAGAGTTGTTTTTAGTTACATTTCCCTGATGGCTAATGATGTTGAGCAATTCCTTAAGTGTCTTTTGGCCATTTGAGATTACTCTGCTGAGAATTCTCTATTTAGTTCTGTACCCCACTTTTTAAATTGGATTTTTTGGTGTTTTGGTGACTAGCTTCTTGAGTTCATTGTACAGTTTGGAGATCAGCCCTCTGTCAGATGTGGGATTGGCGAAGATCTTTTCCCATTCTGTGGGCTGCTGTTTTGTCTTGCTGACTGTGTCCTTTGCCTTAAAGAAGCTTCTCAGTTTCAGGAGGTCACATTTATTAATTGTCGATCTCAGTGTCTCAGTGTCTGTGCTACTGGTGTTATGTTCAGGAAGTGGTCTCCTGTACCAATTCATTCAAGGGTACTTCCCACTTTCTCTTTTTTGCTCATCTTTTTCACTTGTAATTTATTTTTTAAATAAAAATTTTTATTTTTTTAGGTTAGAAACAATCTTGTTTCACATGTCAATCCCAGATCCCTTTCCCTCCCCTCCTCCCCCGCCCACCCCACCAGGTCCCCAGCTCCCCACCCAATCTCCACTCAGATCCCCATGGAGGGTGAGGCCCTCAAAGTGGATCTCCAGTGACTGTCATTTCATAAAGGGTAGGGCCTAGGCCCTCCCCCAAGAGTCCCGGCTGATAGAGCCTCCCATATTAATTGTCGATCTCACTATCTGCGATACTGGTTTTATGTTGCATCCAGTTATGCCAGCACCATTTGTTGAAGATGCTTTCTCTTTTCCATTGTATAATTTTAGCTTCATTGTCAAAATTCAGGTGTTATTAGGTGTGTGCATTAATATCAGGGTCTTCAATTAGATTCCATTGGTCTACCTGTCTGTTTTTGTACCAATACCATGCTGTTTTCATTACTATAGCTCTATAGTAGAGCTTGAAGTCAGGGATGGTGGTGCCTCCAGGTGTTCATTTATTACACAGGGTTGTTTTGGCTATCCTTGTTTTTTTCCATATAAAGTTGAGTATTATTCTTTCAAAGCCTGTGAAGAATTGTGCTGGTATTTTGATGGGGATTGCATTGAATTTGTAGATTGCTTTTGGTAAGATTGCCATTTTTACTATGTTGATCCTACCTATCCAAGAGCATGGGAGATCTTTCCATTTTCTGGTATCTTCTCTAGTTTCTTTCTTTAAAGCCTTAAAGTTTTTGTCATATAGGTCTTTCACTTGTTTGGTTAGATTTACCCCCAGGATATTTTTTTCTTGTGGCTATTGTGAAAGGTGATGTTTCTTTGATTTCTTTCTCAGCCCATTTATTGTCTGTATATAGGAGGGCTACTGATTTTTTTGAGTTTACCTTGTATCCTGCCATTTTACTCAAAGTGTTTATCTGGTAGAATTTTTTGGGTCACTTATGTAAACTATCATATCATCTGCAAACAGTGAAAATTTGACTTCTTCCTTTCCATTTTGTATCCCCTTTATCTCCTTTTGTTGTCTTATTGCTGTAGCTAGAACTGCAAGCACAATATTGAAGAGATATGGAGAGAGTGGACAGTCTTGTCTTGCTTCTGATTTTAGAGGAATTGCATTGATTTTTCTCTCCATTTAGTTTGATGTTGGCTGTTGGTTTGTTATATATTGCCTTTACTATGTTTACGTAAGTTCCTGTTATCCCTGATCTCCCCAGGACCTTTATCATGAAGGGATGCTGGATTTTGTCAAAGACTTTTTCAGTATCTAATGAGATGATCATGTTGTTTTCTTTTTTCAGTTTGTTTATATGGTGGATTACATTGGCAGATTTTCATATAGCAGCATTATTTGTAATAGCCAGAACCCGGAAGCAACTTAGATGTCCCTCAATTGAAGAATAGATAAAGAAAATGTGGCATATTTACACAATGAAGTATTACTTATTGGTAAAAAACAATGACATCTTGAAATTCATAGGCAAATAGATGGAAGTACAAGACGCCATCCTGAGTGAGGTAACCCAGTCACAGACAGACAAACATGGTATGTACTCACTCATAAGTGGATATTAGATTTAAAGCCAAGTATATTTAGCCTAAAATCCACAACTCCAGAGAATGTAAGAAACAAGGAAGACCCTAAGAGAGACATACATGGACCCTCAGGAAAGGTGAAAGGAAGGGGAAAGGGGAAAGGAGAAAGGGGAAAAAGGAAAGGGGAAAGGAGAAAGGGGAAAAGGGAAAGGGGAAAGGGAAAGGGGAAAAGGGAAAGGGAAAAGGGAAAGGGGAAAGGGGAAAGGGAAAGGGGAAAGGGGAAAGGGAAAGGGGAAAGGGAAAGGGGAAAGGGGAAAGGAGAAAAGGGAAAAGGGGAAAAGGGAAAAGGGGAAAAGGGAAAAGGGGAAATGGGAAAAGGGAAAGGGGAAAGGGGAAAAGGGAAAGGGGAAAAGGGAAAGGGGAAATGGGAAAAGGGAAAGGGGAAAGGGGAAAAGGGAAAGGGGAAAAGGGAAAAGGGAAAGGGGAAGGGATAAGATCTCCTGAATAAATTGGGAGCATGGGAGGAGGAGGGGAGGTAGGAGAAAAAGGAGGGGAGAAGGGGAGAGGGGAGGAAAACATGAAGGATCAGTAAGGTTGAGTTGGGGGAAGAACAGAGAAGGAGAGCAATGAAAGAGATACCTTGATAGAACGGGTGTTGTGGGCTTAAAGAAAAATCTGACACTAAGGAAACCTCCAGGGATCTACAGGATGACCCCCAGCTAATAATCTAAGCAATAGTGGAGAGACTACCTTAAATGTCCTTCCCCTATAATGAGAATGGAAGCAGAAGCAGAGATCCACAGCTAAGCACTGAGCCGAACTCCTGGAATTCAATTGTAAAGTGGGAGGAGTGATGAGCAAAGGGCAGCCAGGTTGGGGAAACCCACAGAAACAGCTGAGTTGAACAAGTGGGAGCTTATTGACTCTAGACTGATAGCTGGGAAACCTGCATAAGACAGAACTAGACCCCCCTGAATGTGGGTATCAGTTGGGGACTTGGGCAGTCTCTGGGGCTGCTGGCAGCGGAACCAGTATTTATCCCTAGTGCCTGAACTGACTTTTTGGAGCCCATTCCCTATGGAGGGATTCTA